CTGTAGAATTTCGTGGGTTTCCAGATTGCCTCATCCACTTGCCACGTCATGCTTGGCATTTCAAGTGCTGGGTGGATTCTGCTCACCTTTGCACACAGACTCTGAGAGGCGTGTTTGGGAGCATCAGCGTGCTGTACTTATACTACGATATCCATGTCTCAGCAGGCACTGTCTGGATTGTGCTGACCAATATTCATTTTGTCCAGTTTTCACACAGTATTCACATTGAAACCAAATGTGAAGTCAAGAAAATCTACCTTCAAGAGGAGTTTAAGATTATGAAGAAAAAGCCCTTGACTTTTCCAAAGGATCAGCATAAGTCAGTTACAGTTGATAAAGGTAAAAGAAAAAATATTACTTCTTAAATTAATCATGATAAATATATATGTATATACATACATACATATACATTTTTTTTTTTTTAATTTTTGAGACAGGGTTTCTCTGTGCCTCCCTGGCTGTCCTAGAATTCACTCTGTAGACCAAACTGGTCTCAAACTCAGAGATGTACGTGCCTCTGCCCCCTCCCCCCCAGTGGTAGTATTGAAGGCATGCACCACCATTGCCTGGTGTTACATTTTAAACTCACATTTTCATATAAAAATTGGTTAAAAAAAAAAAAACTATTAGTTAACTTCAGGCCCTTATTTCACTGCTCTTGGTTAAATTTTCTAATAAATTCCATGTTATGAGGCTTTCCATTTTATTTGGGTTCACAGTACTTGGACCATTATAACCTGACCTAGTGAGTTAGTCAGTTTATCACAGACCAAAACAAAATAGAAGCTTTCATAAGTAACACAACTGTAAGTAACATAACTTCTAGATCAAATTTAAAATTCTGTGTTTGGGACTAAGTGTAGATTCCTGGTCTCATTCTATACCACTTAAGAACTCCTCCAGGCACAGTCTATGAATTATCAACACTGCAGTTAGGCGGCTAATGTTCTAGAATCTTCTAGTCTTTTCTAGAGTGGGGTTGTGGACAGTGAGGAGAAACATTAAGAAGAGCGGGATTAAATGCTGAGTGACATGAAATACTAATCAAATTGCTTCACAATTAATTTAGAAAGTGATCATTAGTTTAAATTTACTATTAATGTCTCTGCCCATGTCCAAAGGACTGTGTTTAGTCCCCTAGAGCACTGTGCGTTTTTGAAGCTGCCAAACACAAAACAATGTCATTGCGCTCAGCTGTCCCAGCCAGAGGACCTTCTGTAGTCAAGAGGTGTCCTAAAGCCGCCTGCCCTTTCTGATGTGGGAGTATCATATATCAATCTGTTGATTTCATTGGTTAAGTAATAAACAAACTGCCTGGCCTCATAGCTTAGAACATAGGTGGGTGGAGTAAACAGAACAGAATGCTGGGAGGAAGAGGAAGTGAGCTCAGAGGCCATGCTCCCCTCTCCGGGGCAGATGCAATGGACTCCGACCTAGGATGGACGTAGGCTAGAATCTTCCCGGTAAGCACACCTTGGGGTGCTACACACATTATTAGAAATGGGCTAGTCCAGGTGCAAGAGTTAGCCGAGAAGAGGCTAGATATAACGGGCCAAGCAGTGTTTAAAAGAATACAGTTTGTGTGTAATTATTTCGGATAAAGCTAGCCATGTGGGAGCCAGGGCGGGACGAAAAGCAGGCCTGCAGCTCCCACAACACCTTTCTGTTTCTGTTCCATTCACACGATATTGAAAGTAACTGCTCAAGATGACTCTTGAGAATTCTCTTCTTTTTCTTTTAAGAAGTGTGGCCTGTGTATGTGGAACTAACCAATGGGAAGATCTACGGCTGTGATTTCCTTGTCAGTGCTACAGGAGTCACGCCAAATGTACACCCTTTCCTCCACGGAAACAATGTAAGGTGAATTCTGTCCACTTCCTAATCTTCATCATATCTGCTTTTCAGGCATCATTTCAGTTAACTGTAACCTAAGATGGCAGCAACTCTGTGGCTTATGTCTGACTTGATTTACAGTATTTTCTACTTAGCACCCTTAAATACTTACAGTCCAGCTTAAGTATTATCTAAAGATGTAATGTCCAATTTGTTTATCTAAAGGTTGATGGGAGACTGCTGTGTATGAATTCTCAAAGAGTAAACCTTACAGATTGTTACATTAGTATTTTAGCATTAGAAGTGCTAAAAAATGTTCTTCTGATTGGAGTTGGGATAAACATGACTATTGAATATTTTTGATATTAAAATTCTGGTCCTGTGCCGGGCGGTGGTGGCGCACGCCTTTAATCCCAGCACTCGGGAGGCAGAGGCAGGCGGATCTCTGTGAGTTCGAGACCAGCCTGGTCTACAAGAGCTAGTTCCAGGACAGGCTCCAAAACCACAGAGAAACCCTGTCTCGAAAAACCAAAAAAAAAAAAAAAAAAAAAAAAAAAATTCTGGTCCTGAGGTCCCAGATAGAAGTGAATCCCTGGACATTCTGGCCAGGTGTCTACACTCTGTGGCTGCTTTTATCTTTCTGATCAGAGCTTGGTTAACACATCCAGGCTTGACTTGCTTAAACTTCCTGTTTTTGTCATCCTAATGCTAATGACAAACTATTTAGTTTGATCTAGGAGAAGATGGCGGCCTGAAAGTGGATGACCAGATGCGCACATCACTTCCTGACATCTATGCTGCTGGAGACATCTGTACTGCATGCTGGCAGCCGAGCCCAGTCTGGCAGCAGGTGAGCCTACACCTATGACCATGTGTCTATGCGATTCCCTGTGAAAATAAAGCAGTTGCTACCAGTGAACCCAAGTTTCTGTTCCAGCTTTTCTCCTCTTTAGCTGGAAGCCATCACTGGTGGTTTGCGGACGAGTAACAGATTCCCACTTTAGAGTCATTTCATATTGCAGTAGATAGAAATGTTTTTAATTAGAAAGAGTTGTGGGGTTACCTTTCTTTTCTGCTTGACCCCTCTAGGACAAATTATAACTTTATGTCATAATCTAATACAAGGGAACAACAGCTCAAAATAATCAGATATCCCTTATTCTTTGTGAATTTCATATTTCTACATTCGGATTTGCATGAAAAACAATTAGCTTTATATCACCCACAATGCAGACTTAGGGGAATTTCAGGTTCAACGAATTCCTGTCAGGTGTATTCAATCCACGGCCGACAGGATGGCTCTGGATATGGCCCGGCATAAAACTGTTAATTTATTATGATGTGTTTGTGATACAGTCATGTTGACTGGTGTTCACTGTGACCACTAAAGATAGCACGATCTGGAACAAAGTCACTGGAAGTGCACATAAGGGAATTTCTAAGACTGAAACTGTGGGGAAGATGGAGTAGAGTGGGTATAAAAGCTCTTGTTACACAAGCCTGGAGGCCAGAGTTTGAGTTCGCAGACTGTGTAAAAGCTGGAGTCATCATAAGCTACTATAACCCAGCATGCCTATTGAGAGTCAGGAGGCCAGCTACGAAACAGACCCCTCCTCAGAGTGGAAAGCAAGCAGGGACTCAAGGTGTCCACTGACATTCATAAATGCACATGGCATGCGTGCATTCACATTCATGCTCACATGTGCCCATACACATGCACACACATGGATGATACGTTTTATTCAGATGATAACCAAAAGTAATATAAAGTACCATTCCCACTATTGCAGATGAGACTATGGACCCAGGCACGGCAGATGGGCTGGTATGCAGCCAAGTGCATGGCTGCAGCTGGTTTGGGACAGTCTAGCGACATGGATTTCAGCTTTGAACTGTTTGCTCATGTCACAAAATTCTTTAACTATAAGGTAAGAATACCCTTTTTGCTTGAAAGTATGGCAACTGTGGCGCTTTTCTCGAATAATTATGGTTTAAACTATGTTATCAAAAATGCTATTTGGGGGACTGGAAAGATGGCTTAGCAGTTAGTTATTACCTATCTTGAGAAGATGTGAGTTCAGTTCTCTGCTCCCACTTCAGATGACCACCTATAACTCCAGTTCCTGGAGGTCCAACACCCTTTTCTGGCCCCCATGGGTGCCTGCACACCCATGATGCAATCACACACACACACACACACATCAGGAAAGAAGCAGTTCTGACAGATGTATACTATTCTTAGTTCTCTTCCTTCTGAGACAGGTCTCTTTCCTAAACTAGACTTAAGAGAAAAGAGAAAACACACACACACTTCTGAGGAAGGGTCTGGTTCAGTTGCATAGTAAATCTTTAAGCCATGACTCCAGGAAAATGTGGTTCACTTTGTGTGTGTGTGTGTGTAGACACCTACAACATTTTTAAAGACTGGGTAGCATTATCATCCACATATATTTTCTACTTTCAGTGTTAAGATATTAATGATGAGATTTTTAATGTGACTGTAGGCTGTGTGGCAGTGTTATAATAATACAGAGTATGTTCATGCTATTCAAATGCTTTCTTTGGGCCCCTCCCACTGCGAGACTACAAAATAGTTTTTTGTTTTTTCTGTTTAAGCTACTTGACCCAGATAACTGGACATTATGTTATTTGTGGGGAGTTGGAAGGAGCTACTCCAAAAAATGACCTTTTCATCCTCATGCAGGTTGTGCTGCTGGGAAAATACAATGCACAAGGCCTAGGCCCAGATCATGAGTTAATGCTGAGGTGCACCAGAGGACAAGAGTATGTCAAAGTCGTCATGCAGAATGGACGCATGATGGGAGCTGTCTTAATTGGTGAAACTGATTTAGAGGAAACATTTGAAAATTTAATTTTAAACCAGATGGACCTTTCATCATACGGAGAGGATCTCCTAGATCCAGATATCGACATAGAGGATTATTTTGACTGACATTAGAATTTCTTCAGGAAAATAAGTTCAAAATAAGGAGAAAAGAAACAAATTGGAAAAACTTAATGCCTGCACCAAGTGAATGGCCCCACAAATCAAGAATGCAGAAGCTAGATTCCTGGTTGGAAGGAGTCACGAAGTTTCACAGTGAACTCAGTTTAATGACTAATTAGCAGGTGAACATTCCTGATACAGAATTGACAATAAACCTTGGTTAACACAAATGCACCTGTGTACCAGATCCTTCTTTGCCTGAACATCAGAGTAAGGCCAGGGCTTCAGGAGGCTTGCTGTCTTGATTTACTTAGAACATGCCGAGTCTTCTTGCTGACACCCTTGGTACTGGTGACTGACTGTTTTCATCTGAGCTAAAACATCAGCTCTTCCGGTCAGACATCATCTGCATTGCTCAGCCTAAAATGGCACCATCTTGGAAGGGTGAGCCTATGTCAGCATGGTATTGCTTTAAAGGGAGTCACACCAGAAAACTAGATAGTCACAGCAAGGCAAATGAGCTTATGACACTTACATGGACTTAATCTCAAATATATCACACTTAGACAACTTTGCATAAAAGATGTATTATTTTTCATTATTGTATACTGTAAAATATAACTCCTGACCTCAAATTTTCAAATGATCCTGAATATCTTCAGATAAGCTCTGAATATATAATTTTATATGTATAAAATACAAAATTGTTTCAAAAATTAAGCATAAAAATGATCTAGACATAAATAACGTAAACAGTTATTTTGTGCAAGATTAAGTGACACTCAGGCATCATCCAGCTTCCTTTTCTTAGCCCCAGACGGCTGAAGCCTGTTTGTGGACTTCTGGACGTCCCCTTTCTCCTCGGCATGCTCCGACAGTCCAGATGACGCAGCCTGCAGCAGAATGACAAAGCAGCACCTGTTAAGGAAGGCTCTGCTGATCAGCTTTCTTCTGAGCCTTCCAGTCTCAGAATTCCCCTTGTGTATCAGTCAGTTCCTATCTACAAATTTCTATTCAAATATGGGCAACTGTCTTAAATAAAACAGGGATATTGTAAATTTAAAAAAAAAAAAAAACCCTGGAGAGGACATGCAGTTACCTGAAGCTGCCGCAGCACAGACTCAACGGTGGCTAGCAGCCTCTGGAGGACACACTTTATGCTTTTTAAAAATTGATTACTTATTGTGTACATATATGCACACCATGGGGGTCAGAGAACAGCACACAGGAGTAAGAGAATGTCTCCTCCATTAGAGGCTGGCTCACAGCAATCAGTTCCAGGGATGAAGCTCAGGCTGACAGGGACAGCAGAAAGGACTTTTATCACTAAGCCATCTTGCTGAACCCAGAGGATCCCACCCAGTATTATCACGGAAGCATTTCACAGAATTAAACTTTAAACTGCAGCCCTCACATTTTAAGTGGCTGCAACCCTCTGACTCTACAATGGGCCAGTCTAAAGCCCTCCACTACTTATCTGTCCAAAATCAAAACCCAGGAAGAAAACTGATAACATTTGTGTCCAATCAAACCTAGTAGAGACCTTGAGGAAAGCAGCCCAGAAACTTAAGGCACACTGAAAATGAAGAGTTACCCTGGCGCCGCTCTGTGTGGACTTCCTCACTTGCATGGTAACAGCATGGGCGTCGCTGCTGAGAAGACTAGCTCTGGGTCCCACTTTCAGATACGAGATGGTGGCGTAAGCTGTGAAACTGTAGTCTTCTCTGTAAGAGAAAAGAGCCGAGCAGAAAGCTTGAAGGAGCCATAGGAAACACTTTTAGAAGAGTATAATTTTAAAAAAATATACTACAACACAAATATAATCCTTAAGGAAAATAAGTTGGGCTTTTGAGGGGGGGCATGTTATTTTGTTTTTTAACTTTTCTGACTTCATAATCAAGGTCTAAGATTATTAGGTAACTTGTTTTCTATATGCTTAAGAGTTCACATCAAATAACTGCAGTTGCTGACTCTGCTCCAGTTAGGAGTCAAGGGAAGAAACATGAAGACACAGAAGACAAATGGCTGTGTACTTGAGATACTGCTGCAGGAGAGCATGTGCGATGATTTTCTCCAGGTCTTCTCGGGGAAGGACCGGGGCAACAACGCCAGCCACTCTCAACTTGGCTGCTCCCTTTCCCATCCAAGAATCGATGAGCTTCAGTGGAGTGAGCTTTTCATTCAGTGCCTCTGCCTGCTTCAGGATCTTGACCAGGTCTCGGCAGTGCTGTGTTACATTCCTTTTCTCAGACACTGCAAGGACAGAGAACAATGGGAACAGCTGGAGTTACACTGTGAGCCCTTTACACAAACTTCTTTTCATATGCTCAGAATTAAGACCACGATGTTCCTTAGGCTTTATCATAGAATAAATTCTACTCCTAAAAGCCATGTAGGGATCATGGTAATGTAAAGGTGACCTGGCTGTCAAAGGCTGCAGTATACTCCAGACATCACTGGGAGGTGTGCACTGCAGGAGAAAGCCTGCTCTTTCTTATCTGATGCTGCAATTACACCACACTCTGAAAGCCAGTCTGGGCTCCGAAGGAATGTTCTGGATAGAAGTCCTCAAATACTAGACTAGCATCCTGACTTACACGTAGGGTTTACATGAGTTTGGCCTCTATAAGACAGTCTTGTGAATTAGACTGGCAAATTAGTGTCTGTAGCTGTCAAGTTAAAAGTGCAGAGAACTCTACCCACTGAAGCACCAGAACCTAGGTCCTCCCATGAGAACTGCTAGGTCCAGCTTTTCAAGGATACAGCACCGGGACACAAGTTCCTACATGTATTGTATCAAGAACAGAGACTATGCAGTACTACAGACTGTCATGACATTAGCCTTTTCTTATGTTACAGAATTTCTATGCAGAGGAATTCTAATTTTTCCTTATTTCTTAAAACCTTGATGTCCTCAGTATAGTAATATAATATGTGTGCATATACATTTGACTTACCTTTGTATCATTTTTGAATCTAGAAAATTCTAGTCATAGTTTGTCTTTTAATTCTATTTGGAGGGATTAACCCTTCCCACATGCAGCCCGTGCTGCATTGAGGCTCTAAGAGTCTAAGCAAGCTTACAAATGTCTTTGCAGCAGCTGTCACACATTTTGTTACAGGCGTCAGCATTCCACACTTCATCAAAATGTTGTGCTATCAACACACGACGGCACCTGCAGACACACGAGAGAGAGAATCACTCATGCACTCAAGCTTTCAGGACCTGCTTCAGAGGAGCGCATGTGCTGCTGGCTGTCCTGCTGACACAACAGCCCCAGATGTGGTGGCTAGGGCAGTGCAAGTGTGTTATCTCATCTTTGTATAAAAAAGTCTCACAGGGTCAAAGTCAAAGTAGGGGCAGACTGGATGCTTCTGGAAGCCCTAGCCTCAGCCTTTAACACTGTCTAGAGCTTGCCCACACTCCTTGGTTCCTGGTCCTGTCTGCCTTCAGAGCCATCAACTGTGGCTTCTCCCATCACAACTGACCTCTTTGTCCACTTACAGAGCCCTGTGTCTACAATGGACCCACCCAGGGAGTCTCAGGAGACTCCTACTTTCCCAGCAGTATGCTGACAACCATCACTTCAAAAGTCACCGGTCTCACTTTGAGGAGAATGTTTTGATAATGAAGTAGTTTCTTATATTTTAGGCTAGATCTGAAAACAGTCTTCATAGGAGTCTCCTATGTCAAAGAAATTCTCACTTTCTCCTTCCCTGTGACCACCGCAGCATCAGTTGGAAAGTAAATGCAGTTTTTATCACTGGCAGGTCACTGTTTACTTGGACACTTCTGAGCTCTTTTGTGACAAGTATTAAAGACACAGGATGTTCACGGCCCTGGGGCCCCAAGGAAGCTGAGTGCTGTAAGCAGAGACTGCCATGTATTTCCTAATGAGAAACTTGACCCCACCCTGGCTTATTCAGTGACTCATCACCAGGGTGAATGGACATGCCTGAACTTACCTCCCCAATGCCTATCTTCCCACACGCCCTTCCATAATCTCTATAGGCAACTACACACCAGATCCAAAGGAAAAACTCTTCCTTCATAGCCTTCAATAGACTGGCCTTGAGAAGGACCTCAAAAACTGACAGAGCCTCTTTTCTTAGAGGAGGGCAGTCTCTGTCTTTACAGTGTTCTGTGCTAACAGCGGTGCATTCGGTAGGTACTCGACGACCAAACGACATATGACATGCTACATACAGGAAGGCACGTGGCTCACTTGCTTATATTCTGGCAGTATGACACCATCTCGTACAACTTCTGCTGCCCTACATTCTCCATGACCACCATCGAGCTGATCCTGAATATGTCTCCAAAGCCGTAATACAGAATACAGTCTGCTCTCGAGTCATCGCGACCTGTGCTTTGAGGAATCCTCAGTTTGCATCATTGCTTTCAAAAATCCGTAACATGCAAAAGTATACGTCAATTGCTGACAGAGCTTCACAGTACAGCCAGACATTTTTAGATGTCTGTAAGAGCTTCACAGTACAGCCAGACATTTTTAGATGTCTGTAAGAGCTTCACAGTACAGCCAGACATTTTTAGATGTCTGTAAGAGCTACCCTGAGGGTTAGCAATGACTACAAAGAGTATCATCAAGAATCAGCTTATTAATATAGAAAAACGAATGTTCACGAACAGTTCAGTTATAGGCTGTACATGTGAACCTACTAATTAAAACTCCAAGTGGTCGACATGAACATCACAATAGTTTACAACATATAATAAACCATTTTTAATATTTCAACAGGTGTGTAAGTAAGTATAAATCTGGATTTTAAAACTCATTCTAAAAATTACTACCTAAAAACAAGCATTGAAAACTCAGAATTCTCAAGCATGTCCTCTGCCAACTCTCCTGAGATTACTTCTGAATTAGAGCCTTACATACCGGCACGGCCACTCTCTTGGTAGTAATTCTCCATGGATTTGCTCATTGAATGGTGGATGACGAACCTCACATCTGGCTTATCAATTCCCATGCCAAATGCAACTGTAGCCACGACCACCTAAAATGTGTTAATACTTGGTAAGTTAATTGAGTAATTTAACTATTGTTAAAGGTAAGTTAGGCTTTCATAGAAAATACATATACTTAACCTGAAGTTCATTGGCTGACCACCGAGTATGAACCTTGGTCTTATCTTCGGGTTCCATATTGGCATGGTAAGTTCCTGCATGAATTCCCAATTTTTGCAAACTAATGGTAACTTGTTCAGAGTCTTTCTGAGAAAAACAGTATATGATTCCTGCAGTAAAACATGGCCGATTGTTAGGTTCGTATGCATAGCACATTCTTAGTTAATCTGAACCATGCTCAAGACAGTGATTTGTCCCAAGGCAGAGAGGTCCCAAGCCCCTGTGCACATACTGACTGTTGGGTATAATCAACGTTTGATGCTTGCCTTAAGCAGAAATGAACCCTGCATCACCAGCCAGGGTTCCCATGACCAAAAGAGGGTGTCTCTGCAACTTTATCCCCACTACACAGCACTTCTTAAACTCTGTGAGACGCTAGGAAATTGAAGAATCTGCTCATTTGGCTAAAGCACCTTTTTTTGCATCTTGGGGCGGGGCTAACAGTCCGTGTGTAGACAGGCCCTCTGAGAGGGACAGACAGCTGCAGCCTCTCTCAGACTTGACTCAGGATCTCCTTTTCCCAGACACCATTACGCTCTCCTAACCAGAGGACAGTGCTGAAGAGCCGCTGGGCTGTAGTCCTTTGCTCTGAGACGCAGGACAGATGTTCCTAACTTCACCTTGCTTTACCTGGTGTATGTACATGGCCCTTCCTGCAAGGTACTGTGTGTTCTCTCTCTCCAGAACATTGCTGCTCACTCAGGAAGGTACAGGACAGATACTAACGTGTCAACAACACTGTCACTGGACCTATTCCACAGCAGGCAAGGCAGGCAGCTTTGACTCCCACTGTGGCAGGAATGCCACGCACAGCTAGTGACCAAATGGATGGATTTGATCTCATTTTCAGGTATCAGTCATGCATAACTGGAGGGATTTATGCCATTTCATAAACAGACTCTCAGCCCCCAAGTTGATTTGTTTTTAACATTACCTGATTGCCCTTTGTACCGTCCATTTATGAGCTTTACAATGTCCTCAATAAAGTCATCAGCATTCGAGGGTTTTTGTCGAACCTAGAAAAGCAGTCTCATTAAGAAGTGGATTCACCAATGCCACCCAAGTTGTGCCTGCTTACAGCCTCTGATGTGTGAGTCCCTAATGGGAAGTATCCCTTCCTGGCCTCCCAGGATACACCCATCTGACCCATTCCTTCCTCTGCCCATCCTCTCTTCTTCATTTTCAGTCTCTGGTCTGTCAGAGATGAGGAAGCACAGAAACAGCAGGTAACTTGTGAAGATGGATACTGTTCTATTGTCTGATGCTTTAATAAAAACATCAAGCATAGTATGAAAGCAATGAAAATGAAAACAAAATCTGTCCTTAACACAACTTGAAAATAATCAGAAAGCCACTGGGATATCTTACCTTCAAGAGTAAGTATCAGATAAAACCCACATGGGAAATACTAGCGCACTCATTAGTATGTATGTATGTTTCTATTACTTAGTTACACGGATGTCAGTTGGGCTCTTGGTTTCACACCCTCCTTGTTCTCAAGCATTTTACAAGAAAGAATCTAACAAATATACCCCCACTTGCTCAAACTGTTTATAAAAGACAGTATCACTTAATGCAGTATTATTTTCTGTTTGGCTTAATGTGAATTACGCTGCACAAGACAGAGATAAACTAAAGCACCAATGAATGTCCTAACAATTACTTCTTGACATAAAAATGCTTATACTGTCTTCATGTAAGAAAGCACAATGAAGAAGTGTAGCCTCTGCATACCTCATAATAAAGATTTGGCCGATTGAAAGATGCTGTGAAAATCAAACATTTATCCACACACAGGATTTTCTGTGCATCCTTCAAAACATGGTTGGTTGCTGTTGCGGTCAGCCCAATCAGTGAGGTGTTGGGAAACTGGCGCTTCAAGATGCCAAGTGCCTTATAATCTGAAAAAGATGACATGGTCTGTCTCTGAACCCTTGGAGAATGAGTCAATCAGACTCTTAACAGCACACAGGTGAGCACAGGCTCCCAGTTTCACTTGCAGAGTTAGCTATAACTAAGTTTGCAGGACCTGCCACTCTTCTTGAATTCAGAGGTTTTACTGCGTTTTCTTCATAAATAATAATAATTTCTTTACAGAGGTCAAATTAATGCCCTTTTAAAAGCAGGTGTTGTGCAGATAGTTCCTCTTGACTGAAACATTTCTGGGAGGTCATTCAGGTTTCAGAAACTCGCATGATGGAAGAGGTTTCTCTGTGACGTCATGTAAGTAAACAATTACTGGGGGGGGGGGGGGGCTCTGTCCAGTAGTGTACCTGCCAGTAAGTCCTACCCAGGAGCCCCGCCTGAGACAGACACCAGAACTTTAGCCGCTAAGCCACAGCCACGTGGCAATACACAGATTAAGAGAAATGGGTTAAATTAATATGTAAGAGTTAGCCAATAAGAAGCCAAAGCTAATGGGCAAAGCAGTGATTTAATTAATACAGTTTCTGTGTGATTATTTCGGAGCTGCTGAGCAGCCAGGAACCAACAAGCAGCCTCCACACTACATTTCACCACTCAACTACCTCCTTAGCAAAGATTGTTTTAAGAAGATAATGATGAGTAACTTTCTCTAGGATGACTACAGGTTTGGCAGCTGAAGTACTACTAAAATGTCTCATCAATTTCAATTGCTCTAAGTTGGGTGGGATACTGAAAAGCCCAGAAAAATAAGAATACCTTTAAAATGCTGCAAATTCCTCAATAAACAGGGAAAAATGAAGACGGGGCCTGGAGTGCTAGAGATGTTGCATGGGCTAGAAAGCAGTTATCTCGCAGGCTAAGGTGGGAGGCTGCCACGCTGAGGCTGAGGAAAAGAGTACCCGCCACAAGAGGGGAGAATTTCAACAAAGCAGGCGCTATGCCGAACCGAGTGAGAACCAGTAAAAGATGCATACCAGGCCTGAAATCATGTCCCCACTGACTGCAACAGTGCACCTCATCCACTGCGATGCGAGTCAGCCTTCCAGCTTCGTAGGCTTTCTCTAGTCTTGACATGAACATCTTGCTTTTTGCAATTTTCTCTGGAGTCACATAAATCAGCTTTAACTGGGAGTTTCTACTCACCATTTCAGCGTGAACCCATTTCACATGCTCCTATTAAAGACAAAACAGACACAAGCATTGTAGACTGGTGGACCAAGACACTAAGTGAAAATGGGTGCTCGTTGCTTTTGCAACAGTCTGGGGCTCTTCCTGAAGCAGATGCTGGCTCACTAAAACTGAAGCCACATCTCTAAGTGGCAGCTGGGCAGTGTTCTAGTGACTCACTTGCTCCAGATGGCTGAAATAAAAATCAGTCACTTGGCAAATAAGAGGAGGAAACATGAATGTGACAAGATGCTCCAATAAGGAAAGTGTACAATTTTAAACTGTTAATAGAGCCAAAATGTGAACCAAATACAATAGCTGTAGCCATCACGGGAGGCTTTACAAGTTCACTCACTACATTTATAATTATACACCCAAGAACAAAAGTATTTATTTTTTAATTATAGCTATTTTAATGAAGTTATCAAATACCTCCTTAAATAGACTCTTGGGTCCACTCACCACTACACACTCTATAGTATTAGTACCCTAGACAGAACGCTGTCAGTGTTGCACTCACTTTCTCTTTTCTCTTCAGTAGAGGTATGCATGAGGTATGCTGAGCAAGATGGCTCAGCAGGCAAAGGAGTCGGTGCCAAACCTGAGAACCTGAATTTGATCCTCCAGAAACACACGGTAGCAGGAGAGTGACTCCTGCAAGCTGTCTTCTGACCTCCACGTATGCATGCACTGTGGCATGCTCATGCCCTACTCCCCTGACACACCAAAGTCAAAGCAAAACAAGAGCGGTATACACTCAAAACTTTCCAGTTGAAACATGAGGCCTTGGTTTTGTTCATATGACTAAATGAAGGGGTTAAGAGTATAGATAAAGAATGGCAACTATATAGCAACATTATTTTCTGTTTTTTACTACTGACACTAATTTGTGTATTCTTAAAGAGTTTGAGAATAGAATGTATAAACAACAGCTTGGACATGGTCTGTCCTTGCAGATTAGGGTAAGATGATCCATCACTACACACATATGTGCTGTAACTCATTTTCTGTATTAAACTAGATTAAAGGTTCTGTTGTGTGTGTGTGTGTGTGTGTGTGTGTGTGTGTGTGCGTGTGTGTGTGTGGTATATGCATGTGTAGACATTTACACATTGCCAACATCAGAAGTCAGAGTGAAGTTTCCACTTCTACACTCCCCATTTTATTTTTTAAGACAGTCTCTCACTAAACCTTGAGCTCATTGATTAGACTAGGCTTAGCCAGCCAGCCAGCCCCAGGAATCCCCCTGTCTCCACCTCCCCAGCTCCAGGACTACATGTGGGAGCCTCTATGACTAGTTTTACACAGGTCCAGGAATTAAATTCAGGCTGCCCTCACTGTCCCCACAGAACCATCTCCCAGTCCCTCCTTGCTCTTTTATAGTACATAACACAAAACATGTTAGCAAATGTTTCCTATGAAGTGCTAGATAGGAGGAGTCTGTCACGTGGACTGCGCATTCTCCATGCACACTCAACTCTGAGCTGCTACACAAGTGAAGCAGTGAGAGAGAATGAGCACGTGTGAAGCAGTGAGAGAATAAGCACGCGTGAAGCAGTGTGTAAGAGAATGAGCACGTGTGAAGCAGTGAGAGAATAAGCACGCGTGAAGCAGTGTGTAAGAGAATGAGCACGTGTGAAGCAGTGAGAGAGAATGAGCACGTGTGAAGCAGTGTGTAAGAGAATGAGCACGCGTGAAGAGAATGAGCTTGCTGGTTCCAACACTAGTTTACTTACAAACACCGAACCTAAAATCTCTGTGACTTCACACGTCACAGAACACTGCTGCTTTTCACGGTTGTTTGGTTGTTGTTTTCTTCCCCCATCTTGGTAAGTATAAAGGGCATTTTAAATGATTGGGGCATGCAAAACCAGACTGTGTCCAGACTAGCTCTTGAGCAGAAGACTGAGACTCCTGATTCGGGGCTTGTAACTTAGAGGTAACTCAGAAACACCTGAGACCCAAATCAGTTAAGAGTTTATATCTAAAAACCCACACCATACCCACACACCTTAGAACTAGAAGCATTCAACATAGTAGCTGAAATTCCCAACTGTTTTAAAACCATCAGCTGATCTTCCATAAGAGAGATGAGTGGGCAAATCACAAGTGTAAAACCTAAAAGAGAAAAAGCAAAAGCTACTTTCAACCTCACACTCCTTCCACAATGGGCTGCACTACACACTTTCTGTACCTTGTGGACCTGACCTACTATTCAGGCAGCTGCTGATGCAGATTTATCAGCATAACTATTTCTTAGCTTCATAAAGTAGGGTGATGGGCAAAATAAATGACAAAATAAGATGAATGTAAGCCAAACAAATAAATCATAAGATAAAACATTGGGCTGGAATGATGGCTCAACAGTTAAGAGCTGAGTGTCACCCAGCACCAGGTTCAATTCCCAGCACGTGGTACTTCACAACCACTATGGGACAATGGTCTGTACCCTGTCACTTGTATTTTAAATAAATGCTGATTGTCCAGGAGCCAGGCAGGAAGTATAGGTGGGCAATGACCAGGCAGGCTGAGCAACGAGAATTCTGGGAAAAGGGAAGTTTCAGTCTGCAGTCCTCACCCAGAGAGAGAGGAAGTCAGACACAGAACAAGCAAGATGTGACTGCCTCACCAAAAAAGGTACCAAGCCACGTAGCTAACATAGACAAGAATTATGGACTAATAGAAGTTATAAGAGCTAATAAGAAGCCTGGGATACTAGGTCAATCAGCGTTTATTTAAAATACAAGTGAGAGGGTACAGACCATTGTCCAACAGCACATAATTATCTGTATCTCTAGCTCCAGGAGATCCAATGCCTCTTCTGAGCTCAGAGGACTTCCACACGCATGTGTAAACAGACATACACACACATACACATAAAAACCAAAATAAGTATATTTTAAGATAACAGAAATCTCTACCTTTCTTCAATCCCATAGAAACAGATTTTACTATTATGAATTTGTTACCCTCTTTAACTAATATAGTAAATCTCAATGAAATAACACATGCCAGGCCTAATACTAAACTACTGTATCAGAGAAAAATCATCCCAAATTGGCCAAAGGAACAGTCATGCTGCCAAATAGGAGGCACATGTGGGATTCACTTTTCCTATCAGATCAAGTCAGCCTGAGAGCGGAGCAGAGAGCAGCTTCATCTGTAAGCTGCTATACGATGCTGACAGGGCAGAGAGCAGCTTCATCTGTAAGCTGCTATACGATGCTGACAGGACAGAGAGCAGCTTCATCTGTAAGTAGCTTCATCTGTAAGCTGCTCTGCGATGCTGACAGGGCACAACTTTGCGTTTCTACTCTGATCCTCACAATAGTCTGGCAGAGGAGAGAATGGGGCTTTTCCCCATCAGGTTCCCTCTCCCCCACACCTGCACCTTCTCCGTCATTAGGCACATGCACTCGTTAGTTAAACAGTCTTCATCGTTCAGAAACCCTCAACACCTGCAGTGGGCTGACTACTGATGACCCGTGAAAGCCTTATTGGAACCGAATACACACTGTGATGGTGTTGAAAAGCACAGCCTCTGGGGAAGAGGGTAAGTCAGGAAGGCTGAGGTTTGGGATCAACATTCTGATAAACAAGAATGAAGGGATTGTCCCTATGATGTGAGGACAAAGCAAGAAAGGATCACACCTATGGGGCAGGTCCATTCTAGACATCAAATGTGCTGTTGCCTTGACCTTGGCCTCCATAGACTCCAGAACTTTAACTATTTATATCCAGTCTAAGAGAGTTTGCTATAGCACATCAGACAGACTACTACCTTTCTCTTCTTCCCTAGTAGCCATTCTTTCCAGAGTACCCCACCCTCGGAAGCTTAGCTTCCCAGTCACTCAGCCTCACTCACACTTGCTGTCTGTGCCCCAAGGCAGCCTCTGCCAGCCTCTGCCTGAATTCCTACCCAAGGTCAAGGACTAGTTCTGGCCTTTAACCTTTAACTTTTAGGTCCTACTGTTAGGTGACCTCCTGCAGGCAAACACCACATAAACACAATTCCCGCCTGCAAGCTCTCCTGTCCCTTGGCTAACCCCAGCACGTTCTCCTGATGACATCCTCCTGCACCTGGTTACTCCTCAGCTTTCTTCAAGTTCCTCTTTCTTTCAACTTCAGGGTGATACTTGGAGCCCTCCTCCCTCCATACGTCACTCTAGTGGTGCCAGGCACATCTGCACATGGCCTAGCTCATCTGGCCCCGGCTGATCTCACACAGCCCGCCTGCATGTCTGTAAGCATCATGAAGTCCATATCTCAACAACCACATCAGCATTTCTCTCCCCGTCCTCAAACAAGTTCTTTCTCCAGTGTACCCACGTTAGTAGATGACTGACATTAACAGACAAATGAAACAAGACAGTCTAATGAGACATTGTTTCCAATGTCAGCCACCTATTGTACTCACCCTCTGAGCACAGTGCTGGCAGCTGGTAGCACAAGCTCTTCCCACCTCCTGTGGGCATGACCAGAAAGATGTCCTTTCTATCCATGGTGACATTGACGGTTTCCAGCTGCAGGGGTCTGAACTTCTGCAGTTTAAAAACATTTTTCAGCACACCTTTAACCTTCCCAGACCACGGGAAATCTAGAAAGAGAAAAATAGGCTAAACAGATTAGAATAATCAGGACTGTATACAAGATATGAATGTAAATGTCCACTTTTTTCACAAAGCTACCAGAATACAAATCACACAAACATACATATTTAACCTCTATGAACCACCAAATATTTCTAATAATTTTGTGATTAATGTAACTAAGTAGTCAAAACAAAAGCATATTGACTATCATATGGTTATTACATCAGAAACCAAGTAAACACTTGCCAGTAGCTGAAATTAGCCCACATGGAGGAGGGTGGTGCTCAGGCAGGCATGTGGAAGGCCATCTGAATGGTGACTAGCGAGTTCACAGTACCCTGATGTGTCAAGCATGAATGAAATTAACAAAACTCTGGAATTTGGATATAAATGTTACATTTAGAGACCAGTACCAGAAAATAATATATGCGCGCACACACACACACACACACACACACACACACACACAAAGTTGTAATTTCTAGAAATATGCCATCAAAGTTAGTAATAAAAGTTTTATATAACATTTTTAATTATTTACATTATACGTATGGGTGTTTACCTGCAAATATGCCTGTGTACCATGTCAGTGCTTGATGCCTTCAGAGACCAGAAGGTGTTAGATACCCTGGGACTACAGTTACAGATGGTTGTGAGCACCATGCAGACATGGAACCAAACCCAGCAATCAGTGATCTTAACCACGGAGCCATCTCTCTAGCCCTTCATTCATGATTTTAAATAAACAATGGTTTGTTCTGTGCATTTAATCCCAGCACTTAGGAGGCAGAGGCAGTCAGATCTCTGTGAGTTCAAGGTCAGTTTGATCTACACAATGAGTTCCGGGACAGTTATTGCTATGTAGAGATTTTCTCCAAAAAAGGGGGTATGGGGAGAAGACTTGTTCACTATGGCAAGGGTTTGGCTAACTTTTATCTTTGTTTTAGTTAATGCTTAAAAACTGAGCTGATACCCCATTCACTTTGTAGACACTGACTATTACTGAAGCCATATGCAGAGACCACCCCGGTCCTATCACAGGCCCTGGATAAAGAGTGGTCTGCCTGACCCTGCATCTCCTGGTACAGACTGGTGCTGTAGGAAGATTGACAGCTTGTAATTACCCACCTACTGGGGTGTGGCCTCTTATCCTTTATAAGCTAAGCAGACACCCCTTTTTCCTTCCCCTTGCTCTTTTCTGCCGGCTGCTCACTTTGGATAGCGTGATTCAACCAATCAAGCGGAGGATTCTGATTTGTGAGTTTACCCCTAAATAAACAACTATCTATTTCTCAATTCTGGGCTAGTGTGGGATTTCTTTTAAGCGTCCATTCACCACTTCACCTGGCAGATTCCCTGCGACACTTGGCACGACAGACTGCCTCACATGGACTTATGGGACTCTAGATTAAAGCAGTCAGAAGGCACAAGGCTGGCAAACCTTCTTTATTCCATGAGGCTGGTGAGGAGTCACAGCTGCTGCTCGCCTCGGCATCGGAGCCCTCTAAGCACTGCTTGAGTTTCTTTGCCAGGACGGACTTTCTCTGAAGGAGCTCTTGCTGCCTCTCTGTAAGTTCTTGAATCTGGATGTCAATCGCATGGAGCTCATTGCTTACAGATTCCAGTTCCTCTGTTAGAGCTGGGGACAGGGTGGGGACAGAGAGACAAAACAGAATGAACAGTGTAAGCTTCCCTATTGGTTTCTGCAAACTCCTCACTGTCTAAATTACAAGCCTACAAGTAGAAGAGCAGAGGGCTGAGAATGTGTTCAAACGCCACAGAGACCTGGGATTAGTCCGCTTCCCTGCTAAGTGATGCCGGCAAAACCCTAGCCAACACCTCAATCTTCCCTTCCACTGAAGGCCCATAACATCCAATTATTGAGACCTAAGCACTGCCAGGAGGAGTTAGGAGGAAAACACACAAGACGTTCAGGACAGGGACCTGGTCAGAGACTAAACATGCAACAAATGATGGCTGCCATTCTTACTATGTCACACAGAACTGGTTTAACCATCTCCTAAATCTCTCCAAGCAAGTCACCTGGTGACAGAGCTATTACTTCATGAAAGCTTCCATGTCTCAGCTGATGCAGGGGCATGATAGCAACCTGACAATCACAACTTGACAAGGGAATATGCAAAATGAAAACCAGTGCTGTGAGAACCTGCTCTGCAATACCATGGTGACAAACTTATGAAGTCTCTGTGTGAAGCTCCATTATTAAAGTCAAGTATTGACCGAGTCACAGTGAAACTCTCTTTGATACCACATCAATGAAGCAAGGCAAATTTTAAAGCTAATGGGATCACATCTGCCCAAGCAATCAGTATAGTTTAGTGACTCTTCCTGGGATGAAATCTTGTACTCATGATCTGAAAGGAAGAAATGAAGCAGTCATCAGGTGCACACTGGGATGGCAGGCACTGGGTCAAGCATTCCTGAATGTCACTCTTGTTAGGGACCCTGGCTGCCTGTAGGCCCATATTTCCATATGGTGTGGCAGCCAGGCTCTAAAGCCACAGGCCCCACCTGAGGTGATCACATAGCCCTGCAGACAGGTTGTCACTGTCCTAACAAAGGGTCAGGATGTTGTTGCTCCTTTCTTTGTAATTTGGAGTATGCCTTATAGATATGCTGACTCAAGCCTACGTGACAGCTAGCAGACACAGCAGACAGGTAGATGCGGACGTGACAAAACGCCATTCACCTGGTTACCTAGGAGACAGGTCTGGTGAACCCCCTCTCCCCCCGCTCAGTTTATGTGTTGGTATAAAAGCTGTTTGGATAATAAACGCGGGGAGATCTTCAGGAGATGAGAACCCTGAGATGCCCTTCCGTGATGACTGTGTAAGCCGTGTCTAGTTATTCCTTGCACCTCCATACCAGTCCAGTTAGGGAAAATAGTTATCTATGTTGGGGCCCACAGGCGCTAACAGCTGCCCTTATTGCCATGGGTCAGAAGTCAGCTCCTGCGGTACCTGCTGAATGTTCGTGGAACGGCAAGTGGCCTGCAACTTCTGTGTTCCTGGAAATTTGGGGTAGGTTTGTTTGCAACCTGGTGTGGCTGAAGCCTTGGTTCTTCAGCAGGACACAGCATCCTGGACATGACAGCACACTGATATGGGTCCCACGCTGTCCTCCTCCTAAGTTCCAGTTTATCCTATAGGAAGCAGCCCATCCATGCAGGTCTGAATGCAGCCTGACCTTCCTATGCCTCATACCCATCTCCCTTCCTCACTGTTGGCACAGCTAACCAGGAACTGCTACCTCCCTCCCTCCCATAATGACACATATTATCTTACTGTTGTGACTGCTATCTTATCATTGCAGTGCTGCCCCTAGGACCTCGGGTGTACCACACAAGCACGCTACTCCGATCTACAGCCCACATCCTCTCTGCATTCTGAGACTAACCCAAACTAGACTTGAACTTACAATCCTCCTCGCTCAGCCTCCTGAGTATGGAACTACAGGTGTGTGCCATCACACCTGGCTGCCACACATTTTTTTACAGATGTTTATTACTTTCCTTCTGAAATCAATGTGGCCTGCCCAGAGAAACTAAGCTACTGTGTGACCTGTGCTTCTTATTAGTAGACTGATTCATAAGGCAGACCGCCAGCACAACAACCAAGGTGGTATGTGAAAAAGTGAGCTCAAACAGGTTTGTAAGTGAAGGCAAGAACAAGGAATACAAGACTATTCTTTCCACCTTATCAACCTCATGAACCTGTGACCTCTCAAGGAGTTCCTTACTATTAGATTCTCATTAGACTGAGGAAGAAAATCAACACAGGTTCGACTTGAAGAAGATTCTATGTGACACACTGGCACTGTCTAAAATTGAGTCTGAATATTGCAGGGGGCCCTGAGGAACAATAAGGAGATGATTCTAGTTTGAGACCCACAGGCGATGCTCATACAGATCCATATGGTACACTGCCAGTGACAAACTAGAGGGATAGTTAGGGCTGGGCAAGAAGAATCCTAAAAAAGTGGTACAGGGACTGGGAGGACTGCACAGGAACTCCACATGGCCCTAACTGTGAAGACACTTATGTCCTGTGGCAATGCCCACAAACAATAACAAAAACGACACTAATTCATCAGATGGACAAAACCATTCTTGTACAAGGGTAAGAACAAACTGTCTGTGCTACAGCACCAACATCCACTCTCTGAGACTAACCTGTTACACACAGGTCACTATCCGGCCTTCAGACAGCACACACTCACTGGGTCTCCTCCTCGGCACCATTCTGACAAGACCAGAGGCCTAGCAGCAGACTGACAAGACACTGGAACCATCTATGATGGAAGTGTCTCACTGTGTACATTTGCTCTGCATGTGGGCTTGCCTTTCCAGATGCTTCTGTGAAATCCTCCCTACATAAATGTAGAAAACGCCTTATGGACTATATTCACATTTTACACCAAGTATCTCTAATCACAGCTCACACAGTTCTTGGGACCTTACTAGTCAAATCATGCCCTCAATGTTTAGAAGTAGCTGGACTGAGAGAATAGCAAAAGACATTTAAAAAAAAATCAGTTTAGTGCCAGCTGGGTAACAATAGTATGTAAAGGCTGGAGCAGTCCCCCTGCCCTTTCTTTAAAGGATGGCGTTCTCTCTCTCTCTCTCTCTCTCTCTCTCTCTCTGTCTCTCACTCGCACACACACACACACACACACACACACACACACAGAGGGAGACATGGTCAGTTCCACGCCAGTGAATACTGACTCCTCTGCTGTAGCCTCAAATCTCAGTCTTAGGAAGCAGTGTCCCCTCCAACTCTGACGCTGACTGAGCCACTAGTTGAACTGCCGCTTGTTCCTCAAATTTCGGATGCTGCTGGTCTTGAGGCACTAGGTGCCAAGGAAGCGAGCAGTGTCCTGAAACCCGGAAGCCCAAGGTCCTCACTTGCATGCTAGAAAATCGACAGACAAGGGCAGCTGAGCTGGGGAAAGTGACCCTGAGCACTAAGGGGAAGGCGAGTCACTATTACATTACAGTAAGCCACAGTCAAGTGGCGATACACATTAATGGAGATGGGGCTAGAGCTTATGGGCCAAGCAGTAATTTAATTAATACAATTAATTAAATACAATTTCTGTGAGGTTATTTCGGGGGTTAAGCTAGCTGGGTGGCAGGGACCAAAAGCAGGCCCCTTCCCTACTACACATACAGTGTCTTTCTCCTTCACTTTGTCACTTGACTACTGGTCAAACTTAAGGCTTTCTATTTTTGATTTCTCGGTTCCAAAATCCTAACATAAAAATGGTTAACAGCAGCTAGCCTCCTACATCAGGCTGTGAGTCTCAAGTTTAACCAAGAGGATGTGACTCAGATGAATAAAGACAAATCAGTGCTCTCTCTGGGAGGCAGTACAAGGGAGAATTTCACCATGCAGAAGCACAATTGCACCACTGCCTTCATTTGCAAGTTTAGTAAGACAGAGGCCAAGTGGTGCTGTGCTACCTTAGCCAGGGTAGAACTACACTGCCCAGCATCCCCTTCACTGAGCAGTTCTGGAGACCCTCCTTCCCATATCTACGTATCTAGATGAGTGTCAGGGCTGGTCACCTTCCTGATATAGAACAGCTACGAGATAACCTCAGGAAAACAGCAGGGCCTGCAGGGCGTCCAGAACCCTACCTCCTTCAGTTCTCTTAGCCTTCAGCCAGGCTGTGTGCAAAAGTACAGCACCTCTCTGACAGTCTCCCCTGCTTCCAAACTGCATGAAAGCCATGGGGCGAGTCAGTCTTCAGACAGCAGTTTGCCTTTGCTTTCCCATGTTCTAGGCCTCTTCTCATTCTGCCTGTCATTCAGCCACCTCAGACCTAGTGTAAGACACACAGATAACACAGAGAGGGTTTAACTACTTCCCATGGTCACATCAGGGTTAATCAGTGCAGCGAACCCCTATCAACAGACAAGGCATTTCCGCTTCTCTGATCAAATTCTGCACTGTCCAGGTGTTAGTGTCAACACACAAAACAAAGTCAGCACTGGCGACCTGTACACAAAATCCTGATGGACAGAGAATGTAAGGAAATCTGGGTATTGAGACACTCTCAAAATGGTACTATTTCTAAAGCTAGTCCATACAGTGCAGGTACAGGAGGTGAGAGCAAGTGCTCAGGGGAATGACTACAGCATGCCACAGTGAAAAACAAGGACAAGAGCAGGAGGTGGGCATACTGCTGCTACTTCATCTCAAGAGCATGTGGAGAATAAAATACTGGCAAATCGAATCCAAGAACACATCAGAACCATCATCCACCATGATCAAATTGGCTTCATCCCAGAAGGGATAGTTCAAAATACTAAAATCTGTCAACGTGCCGGGCGGTGATGGCGCGCGCCTTTAATCCCAGCACTTGGGAGGCAGAGGCAGGCAGATCTCTGTGAGTTCGAGACCAGCCTGGTCTACAAGAGCTAGTTCCAGGACAGGCTCCAAAGCCACAGAGAAACCCTGTCTTGAAAAACCAAAAAATAAAATAAAATAAAATCTGTCAACGTAATCCACCATATAAACAAGCTGAAAAATAAAAACCACATGATCATCTCATTAGATGCCAAAAAAGCTTTTGACAAAATACAACATCCCTTCATGATAAAGGTCTTGGAGAGAGCAGGGATACAAGGAACATACCTAAACATAATAAAGGCAATATACAGCAAGCTAACAGCCAACATCAAAATAAATGGAGAGAAACTCTTAGCAATTCCACTGAAATCAGGAACAAGACAAGGTTGTCCACTCTCTCCATATCTATTCAATATAGTTTTTGAGGTCCTAGCTATAGTAATAAGACACCAAAAGGAGATCAAGCGCATACAAATCGGGAAAAGAGGAAGTCAAACTCTCACTATTTGCTGATGATATGATAGTTTACATAAGTGATCCCAAAAATTCTACCAAGGAACTTCTACAACTCATAAATACCTTCAGTAATGTAGCAGGATACAAGATTAACTCAGAAAAATCAGTATCCCTCCTGTACACAGATGATAAAAGGGCTCAGGAAAAAAATCAGAGAATCAACACCCTTCACAATAGCCACAAATAGCATAACATATCTCGGAGTAACTCTAACCAAACAAGTGGAAGACTTGTATGACAAGAACTTTAAATCTTTGAAGAAAGAAATTGAAGAAGACACCAGAAAGTGGAAAGATCTCCCATGTTCTTGGGTAGGCAGAATTAGTAAAAATGGCAATCTTACCAAAAACAATCTACAGATTCAAGGCAATGCCCAGCAAAATCCCAAAAAAATTCTTCAAAGACCTCGAAAGAACAGTACTCAACTTCATATGAAAAAGCAAAAATAAACCTAGGATAGCCAAAAACAATTCTGTACAATAAAAAACTTCTGGAGGCATCACAATCCCTGACTTCAAACTCTACTACAGAGCTACAGTACTGAAAACAGCCTGGTACTGGTATAAGAACATATAGGAAAACCAATGGAACCGAATAGAAGACCAGATATCAATCCACACATCTTTCAAACACCCGATTTTTAACAAAGAAACAAAAAATATCAAATGGAAAAAAGAAAACATATTTAACGAGTGGTGCTGGCATAACTGGATATCAATATGTAGATGAATGAAAATAGACCCATATTTATCACCATGCACAAAACTCAAGTCTAAATGGATCAAAGACCTCAACATAAAGCCAGCCACACCGAACCTTATAGAAGAGAAAGTGAGAAGTACACTTGAATGCATTGGCACAGGGAAACAGTTCCTAAATATAACCCCAGCAGCACAGTCACTGAGAGAAACAATTAATAAATGGGACCTCCTGAAACTGCAAAGCTTCTGAAAAGCAAAGGACATGGTCAACAAGACAAAATGACAGCCTATAGAATGGGAAAAGATCTTCACTAACCCCACATTAGACAGAGGTCTGATCTCCAAAATATACAAACAACTCAAGAAATTGGACACCAAAAGAACACATAATCCAATTTTTAAAAAATGGAGTACAGACCTCAACAGAGGAATCTAAAATGGCTGAAAGACACTTAAGGAAATGTTCAACATCCTTAGTCATCAGAGAAATGCAAATCAAAACAACTCTAAAATTCCACCTTTCACCTCTAAGAATGGCCAAGATCAAAAACACCAATGACAACTTATGCTGGAGATTGTGGGGTAAAGGGAACACTTCTGCATTGCTGGTGGGAATGCAAACTGGTACAGCCCATTTGGATGTCAGTGTGGCGATTTCTCAGAAAATTAGCAAACAACCTTCCTCAAAACCCAGTAACACAGCTTTTGGGTATATATCCAAAGGATGCTCAATCATGCCACAAGGAAATGTGCTCAACTATGTTCATAGCAGCATTGTCTGTCATAGCCAGAACCTGGAAACAACCTAAATGTCTCTCGATCGAAGAATGGATAAGAAAAATGTGGTACATTTACACAATGGAGTACTACACAAACAGAAAAAAATGACAGCTTGAATTTTGCAGGAAAATGGATGGAGATAGAAAACATTATTTTGAGTGAGGTAACCCAGACACAGAAATACAATTATCGCATGTACCCACTCATAGGTGGTTTTTAAACATAAAGCAAAGAAAGCCAGCCTACAAACCACAATCCCAGAGAACTTAGACAACAATGCAGTCACTAAGAGAAACTTACATAGATCTAATCTACATGGGAAGTACAAAGTAGAAAAAGACAAGATCTCCTGAGTAAATTGGGAGCGTAGGGACCTTGGGGGAAGGGAGAGGCAGGGACGGGAGCAGAGAAAAATGTATAGCTCAATAAATATCAATTAAAAATGAAAAAAAAGAGCATGTGGAGGTGAGTGGGTCACACGCCAGTGTTCCTAAGGTTGTGGTTCACGTGTGGATGTTCTAGCAATGTCCCGAGCTGAAATTCACAAAGAGGTTTCCTCCCATCAAGCACAAAACAACAAACCAAAGGCACCTTCAAAGGGTCTTTCAAATACAGAGCAACAGACAGGTAGAATAGTAGAGAAAGCAGAATAAGTTCTTAAAATGAATCTGCTCCACTATTTCATTAGTTTTAAATCATACCTCATTGGGAGAGCTTAAGTCTGGGTAAGTAGAGTAAGACATGGAATCCAACTACGACCACACTAAACCTCTGCTCAGCAGCACCTGCTAGTCTCATCTTTACCATGAACTGAAGACTACTTGAGTAAGGACCTAAACAAATTATTACCACTGATCACTAACCTGCAGAGTCCTGAGACGAAGCCAAAACTTGGCTGGTTATATTTCCATGTTTATACTTAGGCAAACTGTGATATTGTATACTGGTTTGTGGGGCAGGTGCGTCCTATACAGAAGAAAAACCCTTCTGGGTGTTTCCTAAAAAGAACCCAGTCCTGTTTTCCAGATGGTACGGTAGGATGCAGCCAAAGCCATAACCACTCCACCACAGAAATGACTGGAGAGCCTTCCTAGTATAAGTTCCCTGTCCCTGCCAGTGGGTCACAGCCAATCAAACCAAGAGCAAGACCTCACCATCACAGCACAGTCTGATCACGTGAAACCTGCAATAATGGGAAACAGCTGACCTGGGGGAGGTTGATAATGGAGAGACTGCTTGTGGGAACTTGTGGAACGACTCTGAGAGCCACACAGAGCTTTAGATTCCAGTATGTTCAATGTGGCACAGTTCCTATTGTCAAATGGACAGAGAGCAAAAGTTCAAATAAGTAAGGTAGTTTTAAAACAGCCACACATTTCGGGCATTAAACATAGAATAAGCTACGGAAATTATTTAGTACCACATCTGTACTCCATATTTGCTTTTTCAAATCACATTCCAAAACAGTACAAATCGTTACAAATTTGATTGAAAACTAATAAAATTGATGCCAACAGCATTCATATTAACTAGAGCATTTGGGGTTATATTTATATTTTCTTCTTTTCCTGTTCTCAGTCTCTTAGACATCAGTCAAAAACACTCTCAGAGCCCTTATGCACTGCTGATGGGAACATAACGCAGCCACTGTGCAAAACAGCACCAGCTCCTCAGAACATTAACCATGGGATTATCATTTGATGCAGCAGGTCCAATTCTAGGTATACACTCAAAACAACTGGAGAGAGCCAGTGAGGTGGATCAATGGTAATGCTTGCTGTACCTGCCTGATGGCCTGAGTGCTGGCCCTTGAATCCAGTGGAAAAAGAACTGATTCCAGAATATTGCCCTCTACCCTCTCCACAAATGCTATGATACATATACACCCATATTCACCACACACACACACACACACACACACACACACACACACACACATTGTGAAGAGGAACTTAAGATGTTCCTATACAAAATACCATATTAGAATTACTCATAGTTGTCAAGTTTGGCAAATAAATTAACTATTCCTCAACAGATGAATGAGCAAACAAAATATAGCACCTACATACAAAATGAACATTATAGGCCTTAAAAAGCAAAAATACCTTAACACACCTTATCTTGAAGGCATAATGCCATATGAGGTTCGACAGACACCCTGTGTCTGAGGTCCCTTAAACGTCAAGAGGAAAGGAAGTGTGGGGAGCTGTGTGGACCAGCATTCAGTCTGGGGTGGTAAGAAGGTTCTGAAGACAGACAGCAGTGGCAGTAGCCCAGTGTGAATGACTGACCATCAGTTTGCTTACTAATACTGAAATGGGAAGTTCTGTTGTGCATTTAAATAAAACAGCTTCTAAAAACTAGTTCTAGAATCAGAATTCTTCAGATTTTTTTAATCAAAGAGCAAATTAAAGTAGGACACAGTAACATACAAAGAACATTTGCATCCACTAACCTGAGGCAGACGCCATCCTAAGATGAGCTGGAGGGCCGAGCGTCCTTCGGAAAGTGAAAGAACAAATATGGTCACGTTTTCTAACAGCAGTCCTGCTGGGCTTGGCACAGGCACTAGTGAGTAGGCAAGGCAGGCATTCTTCAGGGGCGGATTCCTCTGCAACACACTTCCAAAATCTTCTTTCCTACCTGCGAAAACTTATGTGCAGGAATGTGTCCTTCCCAGCTTTCCTGCCCCATAGGAGTACGATCAGGCCTCCCTAAGCAATCCCCAACCCTTCCTTTGTCCCTGGAGAGCATCGTTTTCAAAACAATGCCCCTGTTCTCCCTGCCTCCTGGTAGTAATAAATCTTTCTCCACTCTGTCATGTCTTGGCTCTGCTTGCTTTGGTTTTGGGTTCACCAAGATATGAACTCTCATGGTGTTAAGTTCATGGCTGAATCTCCAGCACCACAAAACAAAATGCAAACCAACCCAGTACAATGAACAATGCTCAGTCCATGACAATCTGTCACTATTCTGTGCAAAAAGTTAGAAAGCACAAATGGCTTTTTAAAATCCTATAGATGATGGTGTCAAATAAAAAGTCAACAAGTCTACAGTTGCAAAGTAATATAGCCAAAAAAGGCCAAATATTAGGTAGATCTGCCACCAGGTTGATGTGGACCTTAGCAACATGACACACTATTACTCTAAGCCTGTCTGTACCCTGCCTTAAAACCTGGGATGGCAGGACTCATGACCTCAATTCAGAGGCCATGAGTCCTGGGTTAGCCTGCCTCCCTGGTGCTGGAACTAAAGGCATGCACAGCCATGCCGGGCAGGACTTACCATACAAATAAGAAGTTGGATAAATTCAAACACCAGACTAAGTAAAAACATAAATAATCACTTAGCATTTTACTGAGCACTTGCTTTAGAGAATTACCACTAAATTCACCCTTAAGAGAAACTCTAAGCAGTTATTTTCAGGAACCCCTCTCTGCTACAGAGAGCTTACTCTGCTTCTCTGAAAATTTTGTTCACTGGCAGAGAGAGAGGGTGCGGTTGCAGCTAGTATTCTATTGGTTCAAAAGAATCTGTACAGTTAAATACGGGAGAAACATGAGTTATATTAAATTTTAATGGTTAAAACTTAAATCTGAATATGCACTTCCCCAAACTGTTATGAACAACTTTTTGCACAATGACAATCTGTCACCATTACACACACACACACACACACACACACACACACAGCATGTTATATTTTGCTTAATTTTAGATTTTGCTAAATCTAAGGGTGCACTTCAAAGACAGACTCTGCACCCCTCTATTCTCACTTGGACTGTTTGCTTTATCAAATCACATCGCTCCTGTGCAAAAGCTGTTAAGAGAGGCTGAGCCTTGAGTAAACGGTATGGAATGGCCACACATCACTAACAGGCATTTAAGGATGAGTGTAAATCAAGAGCTGTTAAGAGAGGCTGAGCCTTGAGTAAACGGTATGGAATGGCCACACATCACTAACAGGCATTTAAGGATGAGTGTAAATCAAGACTATTTCCTCATGAATACCGGCATCTCCTTACCACTTCCTAGAGATAAGGTCAGTCCACAAACTGTAAGGTCAGAGCAGAGATCGACTCTATTCACTGTAGCAAAATGCCTTTTCCAAACTGAAAACTCTTTCTTTGCTAGGAGTGGTTGGATGTACGTCCATTTCCTTCCGTTATTTCAAACAATCCTTTTATGGACTTCGTTGCCAAAAACCTGTCTCTTGCCCAATTACGTAACTTGGCAACAAAAGATCTCGCAGCACAAAATATATCCAAGAACTAGTTAAGAGATGAAAAGGCCCGTCCGTCAAAAGCTGCAGTCATCAATGCGGGAGAAAAACGCAAGCTAACCCGGAACGCGTCTCTCTGTCCCGTGTCCTCCACCGGGAGGTAGAAGCGCGTGCAGCGGCAACCAGGGCTGCTAAAAGCGGCAGCAGCGACGGCTGCGGGCTCCCACCCGCGCCGCAGACAACTGCGGCCCCACGCGCAGGGCTCGGCGCCTCCACGCACCCGTCAGCCGCTCGGCGGTCAAACCCCTTCCCGCCACCGGCCCGCAGCGCCCACCCTTCCGGATCGGCCCCCTCCACCAATCACAAGTCTGCGCCTCTCTGATTGGCGGCGTGGCGTGGCGCCCCGGCGCACATCCCAACAAGAGCACGTCCTATTGGCCTGGCTGCAGCCAATGGCGCGCAGCCTTGCGGCCCGGCTGCGGCGGCTGCGTGTTTCCGGAAGACGTGGCGGCTCGGGCCCGGGCGGCGTCCCCGTGGCTCTCCTCCGGATTAGGCTTCGCAGCGTCGGCCCCGAGGCACCGCGGTCCTCGCCGCCGCCGCCGCCGCCGCCATGATCTCCCTCACGGACACGCAGAGTAAGCGCTGCCGGGGCCCCGCGTCGGCCGCGCTCCCACCACAGCCTGTGCTCCGCCCCGCCAATGAATGGAGCGAGCGCGGCGTGGTGCGGCGGCCTGCGGGACAGAGGGAGGGAGGGAAGAGGGGGCCCCGACCGGAGGAGGGTCGGGCTGCTGCGGCTCGAGTGGAGCCGCCGGCGGACAAAGTTTCCGGGGCGGCGGGAAGGGGACCGTCCGCCGGCGCTCGGGCTCCTGCGAGGCTGGGGTGGCTGGGGGGCGTAGGGAGCGGTGATGATTTGCCTCCCGACGCTGCTGTTAGCAACCCGCCCCCAGATTCCCTTGCAAGGACGGACTTGAGTTTTCTGCCCGTTTAAGTTCCAGCCGAGTTTGCCAATTTTAAGGTCCCTTTGCGCTCAGTCAGAGCGTTGACTTTTGTTGGGAGCGGTGTTTTAGTTTTCTGTGTCTGGAATCAGGATCACACTGTGTATGCAAATAAGGCTGGCCTTTCGCTCTTTGTGTTCGAGCTGGCCTCCAACTTGTAATCCTTCTGCCTCAGCCTCTAAAGTTCTGAGATTACATGCATGAGCGACCCTGCCTGTCTCTACAGGTAAAGGATTTCCTTATTAGTGTTGGTATGTACTGTACTTTGTAGCCTGTTTTATTTTAGCATCCCTTTCTGCCTGTCTCATCATTCCGATGAGCTTTGCCGTCTTGCTTTTTTTGTGGTCCCAGAGATGAGAGCATACTGGACCAGTGTTCAGTGGACCAGTTGGGCTGTGTCCCGGCTCCATCGTTTTCATTTTTCTACCTTTTTCTTGACATCTCAATTATTTTTCTACCAAAACTGTTCACTTTCTGAAGATTTTTAGCGAACATGACCTCTTTCTGCCTCACCCCTCCTCATTACTCTAGTCATCTTATATTTTCAAGATTCTAACATCCCATTGAACTAAAACGAAACCTTTCTTGGAGTTATTCTCAAGTGGAGTGTGAAGATTTAGATCCCAGTCCTGGTGCACCGGAATGTCACAGGTCTTCTATGGTTCCCTATACACTTGGCAGCCCAGTCCTGCCCACACAGTGCTTGATTTGGACTAGACCAGGAGTGGTGCTCATTATTGCTCTATCAGCTTCATTTGATTCTAATCAGAAATACAAGTATCCCTTTTTCCCTATTGTTGTTAGTAATGTTTGTATGATTTTTTTTTCATTTTAATGTAAGATGTAGATATATCGATAACAGTGGGCTTGATTTTTTTTTAATGTGTCTGTGTGGTGGTATGGACATATGCGTGTGAGTCCCAGAGGAGATCAGAGCCATAGGACAGGTCCTCTGGAGCTGGAGTTACAAACAGTCATTAGCTGCCTCGTGTGGGTGCTGGGAACCAAACTCGGATCCTCTGGAAGAGCACTTGGCTTTATTGAGTTTGAGACAGTATGAGCATGGAATGACAAACATAGGCCATTTATGAACTTGAGCATGTAAGACATTCAGTTTTACACAGACACACACACACACAGAGAGACAGACAGACAAACATTCAGTTTTACACAGACACACACAGAGAGAGAGAGAGACAGACAGACAGACAGACAGAAAGAAAGAAAGAAAGAAAGAAAGAAAGAAAGAAAAGGCCGTAGTCTCAAGACTACTGGCTCAGAAAACCTTTGTTCTTTCCACTGTACTGCTGGCTTCTAAGGAGACTGGATGTAAATATTCACACCTGGGAATGATACAAGTCTGGTATTTAAATTACCCTCTGCACAAGGCAGAGAGACCTTCAGTCTCCAAAAAGCCCAGACAATGAGGACTTGGACTCTGAAGTAAAAGCCACTTTCCACCTCATTTTATCAAATTCTTTGGAAGGGTGAAATTCTGTGATGTTCCCTTACCCAGTGTCTGAGGTAAGATGGTGAGATACAACCAATGGTTAGGGAACCAGAGCTTTTTCATTTCAGATTGAGTCTGTGTCTGTGTTACCTGCAGGATGGGACCCATCATCCCAGAGAGGTGCCAGCATGATTCGGGCCTTTCAATTCTAAGAAGGGTGGGTGACAGCTCATGGTTGACTTAAGACACTCTACAGTACTCTCCCCATTCCGACAGTGCCTAAAGAAATGCCAAGGCTTGCAGTAGGAACAGCTTCCATGTTACAGTGGATTGTCGCATTCAGTCAAATACTGCTGTGTATTTGACTTACTGAGACTGGGACCGGGTCAAAGTTATCTGTTTCTTAAAGGGTGTGATAGGGAAAGAAGGGCCGCTCTTAGTTTCTGTGGTATGTCACTGTCACTAGAATGTCAGCTGTGATTGACGTGAAGTTAAACCTGTCGCTTTTTATAAAATTTCTTAAAGTAGACTTTTTAAACATATTATCTAATTTAACCTCTCAGATTACTTTTTATGGGCAGAAAAAAATGAACATTGGATATTTTGTTTTCCCAAGTATGATCCTGGCAGGAAGATGGTTGCATCAGATAGGCCTTTTGACTTAGAGAACTTATGGATTGATAAGGACAGGGACAAAATCTGGAGATGAGAAAAGGTGTGGTGAGGATTTTTGACCCATCTCAGTGGGGTGTTCCTGGCAGCATTGTGCTAGTGTTCATTTGGCAAACATTCCACAGGCAGCTGCCCGTCTGACGGTCGGTCTGGGCTGTAGTAGGATTGTGGAGTGAGAAGACTAGATCTGCAGTCCACCCACCACTTACAGCAGTCAGTGGTCAGTTGCTTGTGGAAGCTTGAGCCATTGATTCTCTGTTCACGAGATCACCAGGCATGCGAATGGACACTGCACTGTGATGAGACACATGGGGCAGCTTTGTCCACTCTCTGACTATTAATAGTTCTAATACCTACTGGGCTGTTCTAGACTGAGATTAAACTTAGGTCAGTTACATCATTCTGTGCAGTCCTATACTCTTGAGTTTAATAAATAGGTTCTTAAACTGTGGGTACAAATATTTAAATATAATGGTTAAAATAGACCTGATTCAGATACTTAACCATAGTTGGATTTAGGGAAGTGTAAATTCTCCATCTTCCCTCCCTAAAGTGATGTGATTGTGCCTCCATTCCTGTGATACTGGGAGGATTACATTGCTTGTGTGCCATGGGAAACACCTCACGGTGACTGATTCCTGTCAAGTTCTCAGTGCATAGCCACCGTATTTCCATTTAATTTGCTTCTTGATTTTTAAATTTGGGGAACACTTTTACTTTGTGTGTGCATGCACAGTTGTGGCCAAATTGACATTGGATGCCTTCTGCAATCATTGTGTGTGTGTGTGTGTGTGTGTGTGTGTGAATGACAAGGTCTCTCACTGAACTGAACTCACTGATTTAGCTAGCCTGGCTGTGAGCTTTACAATCCTCCTGTCACCTTCCCCACTGCTGGGATCTCAGGCAGGAAGCATGTCCAGCTTTGTAGGTGGGTGCTGGGATCTGAACTCAGGTTTTTATGCTTACATAGCAGCCACTTTACCAGCTTAGTTTCCTCTTCCATAAACAAACATTTTCGATTTTGTGTAGTTATGAAGATAATTTATGAACATAAGAAGTTAGTCACATGAAGGCGTAAGTCATAAACAATGCCACACCAGTTTGGAATTATGATTAATAGGGTGATATTTATTTAAAGGGGAAAAAACTTACAGATAACCGTCCCAGACAACAGCCCTCTGCACAGTCAGGAAGAAGTCTAGCCGCCGGAACTGGAGCAGGAAGCAAAGCTAGGGAGAAGGGAAGTAGGTGCTTTTTTTTTTTTAAATATTTATTTATTTATTATGGATACAGTATTCTGTTTGCATATATGCCTGCTAGAAGAGGACACTGGACCTCATTACAGATGGTTGTGAGCCACCATGTGGTTGCTGGGAATCGAACTCGGGTCCTTTAGAAGAGCACGCAATGCTCTTAACCGCTGAGCCATCTCTCCAGCCCAAGTAGGTGCTTTTTTAAAGGGAGAGAGACCACGCCCCAATGGGCTGGTATCTCAGCGGCTATTGGCTGGAGGAGCGAAAGGACCTCCCGCAACAGTCACATTTTGCATAATTTGGCTATTATGATTTGCCCCTATCTACTCATTGCTTAGTAGAATTTTACTTGCTTAGTAAATTCTAAAAATGTTTGAGCAAGAAAGTATTAGCCTGGAATTTTGGTATTTGCATCTGAAGTACATTTAAACTAGAATGATGGTAGATGGGCTTATTCTTTGAGGCTAATTTTAGAAAGAATATGAAAGATATTATTTTAAAAATGAGGCCATGGAGATGTAGAGAGAGGTAAAGTTTATAAAGTATTGGCTCATCAGACCCTTGATGTGGTTCAGTCTTGTGTGTGTGTGTGTGTGTGTGTGTGTGTGTGTGTGTGTGTGTGTGTGAGTGTGTGTGTGACTGGCCTGAAATTTAGCTATTTAGAGGTGAAGGGAAAATAATACATAATGAGTCAGAAATCACTAATACAGACAGCAATTTTGGGGGGCAGAAAGAAGGAGGTTGCCGGTTAGCCTCTAACAACTAAAGCAGGATGACTGAGAAATGATGGACAAATTTTGCTTTGTAACAGTTACAAGAGTTTCAAAGATTGGACCTAGAAAATGTAAGGTCAATAAAGTATTTTATATGTAGGGTAGACCTTGATTATACTGTGTCCACCACTGTTTTCAGCACTAGAACACCCCTTGGTCTCTTGTAGTTGATTAACAAGACTTAGTTTCT